TGACCTTGTGTCAAGGTCAATAAATCTTTTAAAATATCAAATAAGCTGTAAAATGCCACGTGGAGTTACTTTCAAAATTAATTATATTTAGGCCTATGTACTAATCATGATATTTGAGAAATATTTTCACTTTTGAAAAAATAGTCTATATAATAATGTTTAGCCCAACAGATATAAATGTACACTCACATGTATAAGATGTAAGGAAAATATGTTATAACGTTTTATATGATGGTTACACCACAATGCCTTATTTAGAGTCATTACATTTCCTTGACACTATGTAACCAAAGTTTGTTCCTTTTCTTTTTCATGAAAACTTTATATCCAATGATTCCTCAAACTACAGGATATAACAACACAATGACTGACCTGTCAATGGCGATGGCTCCCAGTGTAAGCATGCTAGACGAGCTGACAAGTAGATGGAGGAGTGCTGTGAAGTTGCACCACACCACCCCAAACATCCAATCACGACGCACAGAGCTGGCCGCAACGAAGGGGAGCGTTAGAACAGACAGCAGCAAATTAGACAAAGTCAGGCTGAAGACAAACTTGTTACTGGGTGTCAGCAAGTAGGGCTTCTTATATAGCGTCACCACAATGACCAGATTGCCCAGACACGCCAATATGGCTATGATGATGATAGAGACAGACTCCAAGACCACGAGCCCACCGTCGACCAGGCCATTAGTGGAGTTGGCCACCGCTGTCCCATTCTTAGTGCTGTTCATTATGGCAGGCTGCTGGCTACCCAGGACTGGACAGACATGTTGACAAACTACAACACATGAGAGAAAAAGCAGTGTGGTTAAAGCTGTCTGGATCTTGAGAAATAATCTGGTGTGGTGGGTTAATTCAAGGGTGTACCGAGTAAAGCTTTACAACGCAAGCTGATTTAAATTGTACAAAACATTGTACAAATGTGGATTATGCTCACTCTCACAATGTGCTTTTTGTTAAGAACTGAGCTGTGAAGAATTCAGAGACCATTTGATCTCAGATTTTAAGAATAAGACTCCTACCAGAATCACAGAATATAAGAGTCATATTCAACTATATGGAAAAAAATATGAAATATTTACATCAGGTAAGCAGGCTTCAATCAGATGGCTGACAAAAAAAAAAAAAGTTTAAAATAATTAGATTTAAGATAATGAGAAATGATTATATAACTCAGCTGAGAAGAATTCAGAGAACATCATATTTATTCAACTATACGCTCACAATTTTGCATAATTTGTGTATTATAATTTGTGTAGGCTACACAAAATAAATGCAAGCTTTACATAAGGTAACCATGCTTACTATTGTGGATGACTTAAAGATAACAATACTGAGATTAAGTTAATCAGAAATCCAAAAATCCTACAACATAAAATAAACAAATAAATAGTTGGACACATAGCAATAATCACTGCATTAGGAAACAAAATATCAAACCATAACATAGGCTATATATTTAAGTTGTTAACAACAGTGTAAGTGTGACTCAAGTATCTTGATGCGTTTGGGTCCACTGGATGTGGATCTGTCATGTCTCTTCAATAAATTGTTCACCATGATGCCCGTTCAATGAACAATCACAGCACGAGTGTGAAGCGCGAGCAGATTTCTTTCTCAAATTTCCAACAACAGCGATATTCTGAATTGCCCCAAAACGTGCTCCTGATTCTTTAGATTCATAATGTATAGTTTATCCCAATAAAATTATAGATGCATGGATAACGTACCAGCTCCCCAGGCCAGGCGATATCCCGCTATAGCAGTGCTGGTTGGTAACTTTCTCCGGCTGGCTTTGTTAGTGAGCGGCGAATACAAACTTTAATCCCAAAACGTTATCCCCTCCTGCAAGATGTTGGGTTTTCTCACACTCGCGCGGAACGAAAAATCTTTTCGGAGACGCATGTTCGAAGTTTCAACACAATTACAAAGTATCAAACCATTAACGGATGTTCATTTGTTGCGGCTATTGCGGTCGGCGGTGAAAAAGAGGCGCTGCTGACGTCACAATGGCGTCGACAACCCCCGTCTTGAAAAGTTGCCTCCGTCTCTACGGCAGACCGTCCAGAGGGTCTCACTCTCACCGACCACACAATGTGCTCTACTGTCTTCTTATTGGGTATAATATCTATAGCCTATACACTAGGCTACACATTATTTTGTTCAATCGGCATATCTATCTATCTATCTATCTATCTATCTATCTATCTATCTATCTATCTATCTATCTATCTATCTATCTATCTATCTATCTATCTATCTATCTATCTATCTATCTATCTATCTATCTATCTATCTATCTATCTATCTATCTATCTATCTATCTATCTATCTATCTATCAAAGAGCTTTATTCCCAGGTAGCCTATGTTGTTTACACATAAGGATTTTTTTTGGTGACAGAAGCCTCCATGCAGCACAAATAGAATGGCAGACAGGACAGAGGTAATTAAACGAATAAAAATAGAATAAGTAAACAGAAAATAACAGTGCACAAAAAAACCCACAATATACTAAAATAGACATAGACATTATACAGTTAGGTAGGCTAAATGCAAGGAAATGCAAATAAGTCTGGTGTATTACAGTAAATAAACAAATGTTTTGTATTGCCAAGTGGGAGCATTATTTAACTGTTCATGAGATGGATTGCCTTAAGAAACTGTTCCTGGCTGTATGTTGTTCAGTACTCCGGAGCACTGACCAGACGGCAAAAGTTCTAAGATATATATATATGACAGCAAAATAACTTTATTGCCATGCTTGTAACATTTACAATATTGCTAAGTAATAGGTCTGCCTATTGAAATGCAGCACATCAAATAAATAAAAAGTAGCCTAAATAAAATTACAGTTTTTCTCAATTGCTTTGGCACATTTTTCGAAACAGTCTTAACATTCTCTAAACTGTGAGTGCAAATGTCACAACTGTTTGCAGGAACTTCAAAACTTTATAGCATGTCTGCAAAATGTAGTTACTCACCCAAAACATTTAATTCATGCTTCAAAACCTAGTTATTTTGTCAATAATTTGGCCAAGGCCACCAAAATCTAAAGTATTTTTGTCATTGTGTGAGCCACACTGGTCAAAATGTTTAGTTATTTTTTCACCATAAATCAAATTAAGGGTTTACTGTCTGTAATCATATTTGTTGAGAAAAGTCAATAGTATGTAGAAAAAAAAATTCTATGAACATTTGTATTTTTACAGTGTTTATTTTTGTACTTCATGTGTATACACAATACAAGTGTATTTACTGTACATGTAAAGTAACTGACAAGAATAACAAGATTTCACATTACATCTCATATTTGTGTATTACCACAAATACACAAACAACAAATAACATTCATGGAAAAAAAAAGAAAAAGAAACAAATTATTCTTGGTGGACATCTTGTCGCACACGTTGGTCAGGCCAAAGATTTTCATCAACATCACATCTGATGTTACCATTGCCACACAACGTGGAAAAAATCTCCTTGAATGCCGCACCCATCCCCTGCAATGGTCAGATTTATGACATGATCCACAAGTGTGGCTCTGATTTCATCAGAGACTCTGACTCTTCTATTTCCACCTCTTCCTCGATTATTTCTTTCTCTACCACCACCACGTATTCTTACATGCCTTCCAATTGCTCTTCCATGAGCATGTTGCTGCAGTTCAGGGTTGTGAATGTCCTCCATTCTATATATACTCTATATACTCTAAATACTCTCTCTATATATATATATATATATATATATATATATATATAGATACTCTAAATATATACTCTCTCTCTCTCTCTCTCTATATATATATATATATATATATATATATATATTTATATGGTTGATTCATATTAGAGGTAATTTATAATTAGATTGCGAATGCAATTAGAAGTCATGTGCCAATTTAGCAAACATTACAAACAATGTCAATGTCAGATATATTTTAGAATATACATTCATGTATACTAATTATGATAATTGAATAGATCGTTTTGAATGTGATGGCTTACACAATAAAAAATGTCTGAGAAGTTCTGAAGTGTTTGACAGTGTAAGTGAGAATCAAATCATCAGTTTTGATCAACAAGCCATATACAATTATTTGTTGTCCAAACTGCAGACAGTTGTAGGTACTCTTTGCACACATGTGCCAAAGCATTTGCAATTTTCTCAAATCAATAAGAAATTCCAATCTGATGTGAACAAGAAGCGAATTGTTCAGAGATATGAACTTAATGTTTTGGGAAATAAAAAAAACATTTGAGAACTGAGCCAAAGCAATTGAGAAAAACTGTAAAGGGTGAAATTACAGAAATTAAATAACTACAGTAAATCATCTTGTGGCCCATTATAGTTAAGAAGTACTGCTGGCATTCAGTGAATAGGCTAAATGTGAGTACAAATTTAAACAAAATGTTTTATTTGCTCTGTCTGCGTGAGAAATCTGAAAATTAGTTACGTTTCATAACATAGATGGAAATATTGTGGCTGGTTACGAGAAAGGAAAAACTCTTTATCCAGCCTCTCATGGAGACATTTCTGAAATGCACTTTCAGTAAAGCTGCTTTGAAACAATATGTATTGTGAAAAGCGCTATACAAATAGGCCTACATTTGAATTGAATGAACTGAATTAACATTTCAGTGTTTTTATACAATGGATAAAGCTGATTCTTTTGGCCAAGACCACCTAGGCATGTTGCAAACACGTGTGTGTGTGTAAGAGAGAGAGAGAGAGAGAGAGAGAGAGAGAGAGAGAGAGAGAGAGAGAGAGAGAGAGAGAGAGAGAGAGAGAGAGAGAGAGAGAGAGAGAGAGAGAGAGAGAGAGAGAGAGAGAGAGAGAGAGAGAGCAAGCAGACATTCATTCAACACTAGGTGGCATATGCATACTGTGATCATAATTATTGTGTTATTTTCTTTTATCTGTACTTTCCTTCTGCACTGGAAGCTCCTGTCACCATGTCTTATCTGTGTAAACTGATAAGAAATAATAGCCATGTTCATCCACCTCACTTTCAGGAATTTATTTAGAGTTTTAACCTAATACAATTGATTCTAACACACAATATATTTATTATATACAAACAAAAAAAAACATGTGTTGTCAAATTAGTTAAAGATAGTGCATGTGTTTATTTAAAATCACAACCAAGCAGCTCAATCCTCATAGTAATGCATTTCTGCCATCGTTTTGGAATAATTCGGATGAATCTGGAATATATTGGTGGGTAGATGTAGTTCTTTACTTGGCCATTGTTATCTGTGTTGCCTTGAAATGTCTGAAAATAAAAGAAGTCACTCTGTCATTCTGAAGACATAAAACACTGTAGTTTTTTCCACAAAAGTAATCCCAAAAAGTGAGGTTCCTTACCTTTTGTTCGTAATCCTCATCATCTGTGTACTTTGTCCATCGTTTTCCATCTTCACTGTACTCCAGAGTATATGCTGTCACAAACATCTCATTTCTTAACGTTTTGGCCCCTTGTGTTATAATCCCAGTTATTTTTGTTACATCCTTCAGTTCCACTTGGATCCATGGCTGAATGTCATTGTTCTGTAAATTGCACACAGTTTAGTTAGGCTTGAGGTTGGTTTGCAGTGTAACAGTACCATTAAAAGTTTAATTTATGATACATAGCTACCTTGGCTTGCCATGCATTGACGGTCCCTTGCTTATTTAAGCGTGCATACCAAGGATGCCACTGTCCAGCGTACCAACTGGAGGCCACAGAACTGGCAGTGATTTGAGTATCTTCAATGAGGCCACTTTCCATTCCCAAAGGCAGAGAACAACCTGCCAACACAATGAGGAGGTTTGGAATAATTTATCTGAACTATACTGTAGGGAAACAAAATCCGTTTGATTTTTGTTGTCCATACCATCAAGCTCACAACCAAAGTACTCCAAACGGACAGTTGGGGAGTTGTAAGAATGTAAAGGATGCAGCCTCACGTATCGACCAATCAGAGGTGGGAAAAATATATTCTCCTTCGTTTCGGTAGCATCAGTGTTCCCTTCAATAGTCTGTCGGCATTGAAAAACAAGGTTTATTGCTTACACCCTACGGGCCGTTCCTTTCACACAGAACACATTCAGATTAGATGTAGTGGAATGAAAAAGAACATGTATTGAGATGCATATGCATTGAAATTATTAACTTGACACAGCATCTTAAAAATGTGGTGCAAAAAAGTAGCAGTGAGAAGCAGCTTCAAGGCCAAAGCGATTCCAAGTGATTCCAAGGCCCTCTAATGTTTGTAAAAAAAATTCAAAGGTCCCCCTAGCCCTAGTTTTGATTTCAGCCCATTTTAAAGGGATACTCCAATTTTTTTGGAAATAGGCTCATTTTACAGTTGGGTTTTACAGTTTTCAAATGTATTCAGCCGATTTTCTGATAATTAGAAGAATATCAGTAACCAGACAGTTTCTGGTCTCATTGACTTCCATACTAGGAAAAAATATATACTATGGAAGTCAATGAGACCAGAAACTGTCTGGTTACTGAAATCGGCTGAATGGATTCGAAAATGGTAACTCAACTGTTTAACTCTGGGGGAGTGGAAAAATGAGCCTATTTCCAAAAAAAGTGGAGTATCCCTTTAATCAATGGCTACTTCTAGTTTCTCTAAAATAAACTACAATCATTTCATGTAAACTATACAATTTCAGCATTCCAGATTTTAATAACAGAATGTTTTGCATGACTTTTCATTATATAGGCTATATCCAGGTTTTGGGTAGCCCTCCAGGACCGTCCTCGCCTAGTGTTCTCTATGTTTTTATATAAAAACAACTAAAAAGCAAAAAAGTGAAATGGAAAAACATGTTTAGTGTGAATGTGTAAAACCACACAGAAATAGTCACTTGCCTTTCTGACAGCATCACTGTCTCCCTTGTAGAAGATCCACTTCTTTTTGTCTGTACTGTAGGAAATTGTGTAGTTCTGCACAAAATGATGTGCAAAGTAATGCTTGGCTCCCTGTGTGGCAACTTTACTAATCGCTACTGGCCTCTGAAAGTCCACCTGGAAAGCAGGATACAGCCACCTCAAGTAACTACACTCTAAAAAATGCTGGGTTGTTTTAACCCAACTTTGGGTCAAATATGGACTAACCCAGCCGTTGGGTTAAATTTTTACATTACATTTTTAACCCAACATTTCGGGTTTGTCCATATTTGACCCAAAATTGGGTTAAAACAACCCAGCATTTTTTAGAGTGTAGTCATTAGCATTTCTTTATTTATGGTATAATTGTCTACACACAATTATGAGTGGTTACCTGAATATACTGCCCTGCCTTTGTTGTACTCCATGCATTGTATTTCCCTGTATTATGTAGTCTGGCCAAATGCGGATACCATGATCCTTAAACACAGAGTTAAATATGTTAATAGTGTGACCAACCATAGTACATAAAAAGCTAGTTTCAGATCTTACCTTTATAGTCAGATGCTGTTATGTGTTCATCTTGCACAGTTCCAGAGATGAGACCAAGAGGGTGATCACAGACTGCAAAACAGATCAGGTAAGATTTTAAGATGTGTTATGTTTTCCTGTAATAAGATCAGCATGATAAATGACTATGTCTAGTCATACCGTTATCTAACACAAGGAATAGGGTCTGCATTCCTCTCTGCTGTGAAAGTCCAACCTCAGACTCCAGCTGCCAGAGACCAGGCTTTGAAGGCAGCATTTCCAATGTGGCAAATCCACCTAAATGATGAGGGCTGAGTGTGAATGGCTTTTTTAGGTCTTATAGGTAAGTAGATATTTTCCAACACCACTACAAACCTGGTAAAAGTGGGTAAACACCCTGACGGTGGTCCTTTAATTCCTTATTTATGAATGTTTGACCATGGAAATGGACACTGTGGAGGTCTTTGGGAGAGCCCATGTTGATCAGATGCCACTTCACTAGCTGTTTTGTGTACATTCTAAGTCCTTTGAGACTGTAGATAATACCATTGATAGCTGATGAAACAAAATGTAAAAATAAGATAGTATAAATATTAATTATATACAAAATAGTAAAGAAAACATTATCTCAATACTTGCTACAGTTTATTTCATTTTAATCTAGTGATACTGACGGTAAAAAACAAAAAATAGAACACAAAAAATAGCTGAAAATAACTTTCTTACCGTCAAACTTTAAATTATCATGAAAATTTGGATCCATGATTGCTCTTCTGTTTTTCCTTTCAATCCTCTCCCTATTCTCCTCATAGTACCAGCTCTTATTTTCATCAAATGTCATAAAGAGCAGGACAAACTCTCTTCTGTCCACAGGCTTTTTAGCCAGTGTACCCTTCCGACAGACCAGAAGCGGCCCAATCAGCCCAGAGTTCATATCTCTCTCCTATGCAAAATTGAAATATGAAAATGAATAATAGTCATTTTGCACTCATTTTTATCCAAATTATCTTATAGTACATTCATAATATGGATGCAATCTTCATCCCAAGACTTCATATAACTGACGTCTTCCCAGCTAACAGGGAACGTTCCCAGAACATTCACTAACGTTCTTTAAAAGTTGTGTAAATGTTAGGACAATACGTTATTAAAATAATGTTTTCGGAACGTTCATATAACATTATTAACGTTCTTGTAACGTTAAGAGAAAACGTTCTTAGAACAACGTTCTTGGAACGTCTCTATCACGTTATTTGTATTTGATGAACGTTCTCATTACGTTGATAAAAAACGTTCTTAGAACAACGTTATCGGAACGTCTTTATCAGGTTATTTGTGTTTGATAAACGTTCTCATAACGTTCCAGCAACATTATGCTAACCTTAGGATAACGTTCTAACAACATTATGCTAACGTTCCAGCAACGTTCTGCAAACATTAAGACACCGTTCCAGCAACGTTAAGCAAACTGGACATTTCCACGTTTTTAGAACATTTTAAATTAACGTTCCCACAACCAAAATGGAACGTTAGAAAAACGTTCTCAGAACCTAACTTTGTTAGCCGGGTTGGGACGTCTTTTGACCATACGTCAACATCCGCCTTTTTAGGGTACCCTTAAACGTCGGTTAGATGACGTTATCGGATCCTAACCCTTCCCCAGACCTAAACCTACCCCTAAACCTACCCCGTCACCTAACCGACGTTAAAGGTAAAGCGTCAGTTGTACAGTATGACGGCCCGGGATCGTCATGTAACCGACGTTTAAGGGTACCCTAAAAAGGCGGATATTGACGTATGGTCAAAAGATGTCCCAAGACGTCAGTTATATGACTTCTTGGGATGAGACTGTGTTACAATCTTGGGTAAAGTACTTTATCCTTGAAGCAATATGAAGGAACATTCATGCTTACAGGATTCACTGCAGAGTAATAGGCCCATGTTCGACAGTCAGATTCATTATTTTGAGGTCCAGATTTGGAATTTATTGTCCACATGTAGGTAAAGGTGCTGTTGGGTTGAACTGCATCGTCCTGTTTGTACCAGTACGGTGATTGGTCATCATAACTCAGGCCTTCCATTTGTTTTAAGTATTTTACTCCTTTCGCATGCAAAGAGTAAGGACGGCTGGCAAGGTTCCTGAAAAATACCTAGCACAGAAAACAGGAAGGTAATTATTAATGTTTATTATCATAATTTCATAATATAAATGTTTCTAATTCAATTTAATGGTGTACCAGAACAGTCTGATCAACTTCAGCTTTAATAACCGGACCCAGAATTCCCAGGTGTTCATCCATTTCCCCTCGGATGTCTCGGATACTAAAGCTGCTGTCCAGGTACTTTATGAACACCACTTTTTTGAAAGCTGTGGGCCTCTCGTTTTGAGCTGATTTATCAAGCCTCCTTTGGAAACATGAAACAAAGTAATTTCACAAATTAATTACACTCTATTTTTATTTCTAGAAATGCTAAATTTGTTATTATTTGAAATGCGTGATGCTGACAGTACCTATGCCCATAACCAGCATAATCCCATTCTTCCTCTTCAGCTGAGATGAAATAAGTCCTGGTATTCTTGTCTCCAGCCATTTTTAAGAAATGCTGGGATGTTGTATCCAGAACTGGGCTTTGAGCATCTGCCGTTTTGCTATAAGGGTCTTTGTACTCTACATATTCATATTCTTCCGGGGGATCAACCATACCATCAAAATCTGTTTCCTGCTCTTGTTTTGGAACATATATATCATAATCATTGAAATCCCGTCTTGGCACTCCTATGACGATGTCGTTCCCCATCAAGTCGTCCTCGCTCGAGACAGGCTTGGTTCCCCTTGGGCTCAGCACAGAAGGTCCAAAACCTCTTGGAGAAAAAGCAGAACGTGGCTGTGGCTTATACTCTTTCCTTTTCTTTGTCTTCATGCCATGTCCCTTTCTCGGCTTTACCCTTTGGTGAACTACTTTTTTTTTCTTTTCACTCTTTGGCTTACTTGAATTTGCTGTGTCCGTCGTGTATTTTTTCATGTGATCTGGGATCTCCATATGAACAAGTTCGTGTTTGCCTTCATAACCCCAGTGCTCTTCTTTTGGGTCGATATGAGATGTGAGTATGGCCTCGCTGTGATTGTTCTTCAGATAGATGACCACTTCCTCGTCACTTTCGCTTTCTGAGCCGTTCTTCATCGGTGAAACATTGAAAGTGCCAAGAGAAAAGGATGTATTGTCTTTACTCTCTAAAGGGAATAACTGTGATGCATTCCTTGAAATTTCACTTTGCAGTGAATCATTAGTGGATGATGTCATGTTCTCTGTTATTTCAGGTTCAAGGTGGAGGCTGAAGTCAACAAAGGTTTCATTTGAAGCTTCAGACTCATTGCTCTGTGAGGTGCTGTTTCTCAAAGGCGAAGACAGATTGAGATTAAAATTGCTCTCAGCTGTAGAATTTATCTGTGAAAGCATCTCAGTGGTGTTATTCCCTTTTGTGCTGTTGACTTCCAGAATCCGTGTTGTGTTTTCAGTTAGTTCACCAATGTCCTCCAGTGTGTCCAATAGTGAGACATCATATTCCAACCTAGTCGTTAAATCGGTTGAAATTTCCGAGGGATAATCACTGCCCAAAAGCACAAAATTCTCCTCAACTTGTGTCTCTGGGTTATTAGACAGAGAGTCAGGACTAGGCACGCTGTATATGAAGACGTGACCCGATCCATCCCGGTCACCCTCTGCTACGTCAGTAGCGTTTAGCTCTTCTTGAATAACTGTTTTGTTTACTAAGGTTTGGTTTGATAGCAGGGGTTTCAACTCAGATACATTTAAAGATGCTTTTTCATCCTCCATGGTGATGTTTATTTCACCATTTGGAGCATCAGATGAAGTGAGACTTGCATTAGTGGGGAAACTGTGTGTTTCACTCATTGTTGTTATTATTGTGTGGATAATGTTTGTTTCAATTGTTGGCGCGTGAGTAGTATTAGCTGGGACACTTTCTGTCTTTAATGATGAATTGCCGTTTTCTGCAATGTTGGCATGAGTGACGTTTGTGGAGACACTCTCTGTTTCATTCACTGGCTTTATTGGTAGACTGCGAACCTTTCTTTCTACAACCGGAACATGTGAGATAATACTGTCTGTTTCATTGTTTGACATCTCCTCTGAATTGGAATCAAAAGTGCTCATATTCAAAACTTTATATGACGATTGTATCTTGTCCAAACCAGCCGTCTGAGCTGATAAACCATGAGTCTGATTGAAAGTTCCTAAAGTAGCATTGTGTGATTTGTCCAACTCGTTGCTTAGGGCTGGACTTTTTGCCTCAACAGTCGGCAATATATCATCATCGGGATCTGACGTCAAAAGGCCTATTTGCTCAACTTCATCTGCTAAGTTGGCCGGACTTTGTGCCTCAACAGTCGGCAATAAACCATCATCTTGATCTAGCATTGAAAAATCGATTTGCTCAACTTCATCTGCTAAGTTTTTGAATGTCCTCAAGCCGAAGAGGTCTGCATATATGTCAGTCTCCTCGTCAACCATGCTAGGGTTTACTGGTTTTGGTGCCTCTTTTATGATGTCAGTGATGGACATAGGTTTCCATACAGTGAATTTATCTGACTCATAATCATATTCCATAACATAATCTCTGAAGCATTCGAGGTCCTTGAATTTCACCCTCATGCCTTTAGTGGAATCATGAGAGTTCAGTGATGCTAAAAGCCAAATACCTATAAAGTGGAGAGTGTCGTATATGAACGTGAAGAGTGTGTATAGTCAATATTTAAATTATACATAATTTGGATACTCACCTATATTAACCATGTTCATGGAGATAGTTTCGCCAGTCATGGGAAACAGACTGAGTATATCCTCTTCTCTGTTCTTTAGCTCAAAAGTATGGCCGTAAAAAGTGGCAGTCTGGATGTAATCTTGTTCGCCAACATTCGACACATGCCAGGTCACAATTTCACCATGACAAAATCCCAGTTCTTGACCACTTTCGTAAACATAACCATTGATTGCTGCAAGAGTTGATGCAATAAATACATTATTTACCATATCATACCATGAATCAACAACACTGACATGATTACATCAGAAAATCACTCACTGTGCATAACATTTGATTTGTAAAACTCTGGATCATCTCTTTTAACTCTTTTGGGGTCACTACAATAAGTGTTAATGTTCTCATCATGGTACCAGCTCTTGTTCTCATCAAAAACTGTAAACATGGCATGCTGTTCTTTGTCGGCTTTTAGCTGAAAAAGAGAAAAATTGCTTTCAAGTGAGCTGCTTTGCGGCCATCTTGCTTAGCATGTTAAGCAAAATAGAGCCTCTTAAAGGGTTAGTTCACCCAAAAATGAAAATTAAGTCATTAATTACTCACCCCCATGCTGTACCAACCCTGTAAGACCTTCGTTCATCTTCAGAGCACAAATGAAGATATTTTTGATTAAATTTGAGAGCTGTCTCACTACCACATTGGCTGCCTAAGAGACTGGCTCTTGACGGCCCAGAAAGTCAATGAAGAAAATGTTTAAATATCCCATGTGACTACCGTGGCTCAACTATAAGTTTATTGGTACATCATGGGGGTGAGTAATAAATGACTTAATTTTCTATTTTGGGTGACCTAACCCTTTAACTTCAAAACACTTTACATAAGCAGCAACTCCATAAACCATTACTCACATTTGATGTTACAGTAGCTTGTCACTAAGCTAACAATGTGTAATATGCACAAACCGCTATATATATATATTATATACAACTTATAGATAGACCTATTTTGCATTTTTGAAAAAAATAAAATAAGTAGCTATGGTATCACCACATTCTGATTTCACACAATGTCGCTCTATACGTATTTTAGGCAAAGAAAATGTTTGCTGCCTACTGTTTGGAAAAGTCTTCCCTTACAAGGTGCTCCTATGATGCCTTATATAAAGCCATTACATAGAATGGATTCATTTGAATTATTTGAGCATTTGACTCTGATTCAGTGAGGCGAACAGAAAGCACTTACCTGTATATTCTTTTTGGTAAGAGACTGGCTCTTACAGATGAGAAGAGGGCCCAAAAGACCAGAAGCAATGTCTCGAGGAATGTCCACTGCACTGTGGTACATCCTGGTCAGACATCTGGGGTCACTGTCCATTGGTACATTTTCCTCAGACACACTCCATGTATAGGTGTAGGTCTCTCCTGGCTGAATGCCATGTGTCTGATTCCCTTTCAAATAAACAGCAGGTTTGTTTAAATAACTTTTCTTGGTTCCGTCACACTTAAGCTTTTATTTTATGATTTTACACGTAGCCTATCTTCGCCATGGATAAAGAAGTTTATATATTAAAGCTGGATGATACTGGGGGGGAAAAAACAGACGACTATCAAAGGCTGTGATAGTGAAGCTGTTTCGCGTGTGATAACTCGGAGCAACTCAATTCACAGTAAATGATCCGAGCTGTTCTGAGTCACAATTATGTTTAGTTTCATTGTGTTTTAGTTTGGTTTCATATGTTTCCTGATTTCCTGTGGTTTTATTCTGATTAATTGTATCATTTAGCTCCATTGTTTGCTTCTCTGTGTTCCCTGTTTTGTTCAGTTTATCACTGTTATATGGTTGTTGTTTCCTCCTGCGATCATCTAAGATTTCTATTTAGATTTAACAAAGACTCTTTTTGTTATCTACTCCTTTTTTCGTGCTTCACTGAAACAAAAAACGGATCATGAACACAGTGGTGCACTTTCCTCTGAAACAAGCAACGCATATATTTATTGAATTAAATTGCAGCCTTCGCGATTTGACAATCACACAAAGCTGTATGGCTATTTCAATCTTATTTAGATGAATTGTGTAACCCACTCTCAGAAAAAAAAAGTACAAAAGCTGTCACTGGTGCTGTGCCTTTTCAAAAGGTACACTTAAAGGGTGCATATTGGTATCTTAAGGGTATTTATTACCACCTAAAATGTATAATAGCACCTAAATGTACATATTAGCACCTAAAATGCACATATTAATGCTTAAAACGTACATATTAGCAAATAAAATGGACAAAAGTTTACCTTTTGAAAAGGTACAGCCCCAGTGACAGCTTCCCTACCTTTTTTCTGAGAGTGTAAAGATATCAGAACATCTCCTAATGTTGAATTCTTATTTAAATAGAGGTACATTGATGAATGTGTGGTGCAGATTCACAGATATTAGACGAACCTCCCTCAGGATAACTGGCTCCTTCTGCTGCTTTATCAATGGTCAGTCCATGAGGATAGATACTATACGGACGTGATGCTTTGTTTTTAAAGACAATCTATGGAAACAACATCACAATCATTATGCATCCTGACAAGTAACATTTGAAATATTATTCTGTTTACCTTTCATCACAAAATAGAATAATATAATAATGATGAGGGCTGTGATTATGTGAGAAGCTGTACCTTTATGACATCTCTGATTTGGGCTCTTATCACTGGCCCGAGAATCCCAAGCTCCTTCTTTCTCTGCTTGTCTTCCGCTCTCTCTTTAAATGTGCTGTCTTTATACTGGGTAAACACAGCCTTTTTGTATTTTTTACCTATCCGCAGAGCCCCCTGCTTTAAAAATTTTATCCGGAAATCCCTGAGTGGAATAAATTGAGAAAGAAATATTAGAATGGAGCTCACACAAGATCATGTCCTGTTGATGAACCATGACACACACATACCCATCAATGTTGTCTGGCATATTTGGTGCATAATCCCAAATGATCTCTTCTGCTGCTATATAGTAAGTCCACTCTTGGCTTTCTTGTTTCTGCTGGATAGTAAGTCTTCTTTTTGGTGCTGTGTACTCATCACACGTCCTGATATTTAGATATCCATGCAAGCCAGCTGCAAATATGACATCACATTTACAGTGTATGGCACTGTAAACACTTTTATAAAGTACTGTCGGAATTAATAGTTATTCTACAAAGCTATGAAATAGAGATATGTTAGTGTTTTTAATGAATAATTCGTGTTTTTCTCTGGCAGGTCTTACCTTCCAAGTGCCTGCTAATGTGAGAGGAAATGAGCCAGTGGCCGGGATGGATACCAGTCATACTGGCACTAGTGCCAGTTCCACTAATGATGCCAACAGCTGAGGTTTTGTGCCCATCATGCAGAAGGACTTGCCCATTGAAGTGTACAGAGAAGAGCTCTGGCTCAGAGCTCATTCCCAGCAGGTGCCAGCTGACTTTGGAGTGAGCACAGATGTCCAGATCTGGAGAACGAAAAGAAGTTTTATGCATAAGTAGATTTGCAGAAATTAACATTCTAGGCTATGTGTGAAATATATCAAACCAACCTGGTACAGAGCCATTTGTGTAGCCATTTATAGTGTATTTGACATCCTGTGCCCGGTGAGGGCCCCCGGTGCTGTACCAGCTCTTGCTCTCATCAAACACTCCGAACAACAGCACAGCCTCCTGGTGGAAATGAATCTGTTTTCCAGAGCTGTCTAGGGTGCCTGTGGAACAAGGACATGTTGTTCTAAACAAACAGAGCTGTTTACTGTCAAAATGAGTCTGCATTGGTCTGGAACATTCATAGCCTACAGGATAATAATGTATCATTCAATGTATTACATTATTAACATCATGTTCTAGGAAAAAACGTGCTGTGTGAATGGAACCGGACTGGACAACTAGTTGTCTGTTGTCAGTGCGAGAGAGCCGCTCAGCTGCATAAACTTGCATCTTCCATGTGTCGAGGGTTTTCTTGTGTGGTTATACAGTACTATAACTTGCAGTGATAGAGATAAGAGCTGTGTGCTATCTGAAGGTATAGGATCCCAATACATCCAGTCACTGTTCTCCAATGGGGCTTCATGCTAGTTTGGTGTTCTGCTCTATAAAAGCTGCTGTTGTTGGTTAATGATGATATAGATAAACTCGACTTACGCGTTCACAGACAGTAGGCCTATTCGAGATGCTATACTGTAAGTTGTGCAGTAAATAAAAGCGGTTGTCAGTACTCAAGACTGACTGTGTGAATGTAGCCTGAATGATTCGGTTTCTACAAAAATCACCATTTCACGAGTTCACACTTACAAATAAGTCATATAGAGTAAATACGTATTTGGTGTGCTGTCCAAGGAGAGGGCTCCGGGCTCGGTATTCGACCCGAACCCAGAGTACTCCCCCTGTATTGCTGGTTAAGAAATAACCAGGTGAGTGAGAGGAGAGGGGGTGGTGGAGGGATGCTGAAAAACTGTCGAGGAACATTGGTCAAATGAGTATATAGGTCTCCAACTCAAGCTGATTGGATAGACATGTAATTTTGATTACAGAATTTTGACAGCTGGTGGAATGATGTGATAATTGGATCAATTCTTTGAACATGCTCCTCCCGTGCTGTCCGAGGAAAGGGCTCTGGGCTCGGTATTTGGCCTGAATCTAGAGTACTCCCCCAAAAAGCTGCAAATAAAATGCGGGACAGCTGCCAGAATGATGTTGATGACCCCCCGAAATTTGTGAAATGCAAAGCTTAAAGTATCAGCCGTGGGAAGGGGTGATTTGCTGGAAGGCTTCTTGTAACATAGGACGGGAGTTGGTTGTCTTGAGGTCGGATGGATGTGCCTCTCGGGTGGTAGGATGTGAATTATCTACTGTACTTGATGGGCAGAAGCGGAGAATGGTACAGCTGCTGCAGTGGAAGAGAGTTGGATGGAGAAAAGGAGCTCCTGCGGGAGTCGAGGAGATGACACTGCTGTTGAGCACCTGCTGGAGCAGAAGAGATAATGGTTCCACGGGAATGGAGCGAGTTGGAAGAAGAAACGGAACTCCAGCGGAAGTGGAGATGACACTCTGTTGTGGAGGTCTGTGTCCAGGAAGATAAATAAATGTCTGCACCTGAGAAGATCTGTGTTCTGATGTTGTTGGCTACTGGGGTTGGTTCCAAGACTGTAGCATTTGGAGGGAAACCCGCTGGGAGACCCATGCTCCCTAAATGGGAGAGAGTTAGAGAGAAGTACACAGTACGTCCACTGGGAGACCCATGCTCGCTGGACGGGAGAATTAGAGATAAGTACATGGTCCATCCAATTCGGAGACCAATGCTCACTTGACTGCAGAGAGAGTTAGAGATACAAGTACACAGTACGTCCAATGGAAGACCCATGCTCGCTGGACGGAAGAAAGTGTAAGTGCTCTACCGGAAAAGTTCTCGCTGCGTTCGCTGTGAGGCCAAATGCTCACTGGACAAAAATAGAGAGACCCCCAGAGGTGGACGACTCAGGGGGTTTTAATCAATGAGGGTTTGGTGGGTTTTTTAAATGTGGAACTGGTTGGTCCTGATATAGCTTTGAGAAGCATCTGAGAACCATCTCCCAAGAGCTTGGATCTTCTGTTGGGAGAGGCCTTTTTGGGCTGCTGAAGTTGCTGCCCCAATACCGAAGAAGTGACCTGAGAAATTCTTGAATTCCTGAAAGTTGTAGAACAGATTTGAGGTATGACTGGAACCAAAAGCGTGTCACATGTTTCTTCTCCGTTGCAGATATGCCAGAATGGACTGGTATGGTTAGATTGGTGATGAGAGGTAAAAAAAAATGTAGATTTAATGACCTGTTTTGGTTTTGTCGGACTTACTTTGCTTAATCAACAACGCATTCTCACCCCAAGGCGTCACCTTTGACCATGCTTCAATATTTGACGTTTTAGGCGCCCTTTAGCGTCACTTACATGATGCGATCCTACGGCGTCATCTAACTGACGCTAAAGGAAAGCGTCAGTTAGAGGACGCGGTTAGGTTTAGGTGTGGGGTGGGGGTAGGGTACACGCGATCCTAGGGCGTCATCTAACTGACGCTAAAGGGCGCCTAAAGCGTCAGATATTGAAGCATGTCCAAATGCTTCCCAAGGCGTCAGTTAGGTGACGCCTTGGGGGTGAGAATGGGCTGTAATCAAATATAGTACTGACAAGTCTGAGATGGTCGAGTGTATTTTTTGGGTCAAATTGGAAGTAATGGCGAGTTCCGAGCATCTAAGAAAACCAAAAAAGGCTAGGATAAACATAGCATAGCAAGTGTGCGGGCGGTATTGAGGGGCTGGTAGCCTGTGTGGAGGACGTGAATACATTTGGTGAGAATGTCTACCTTTTTTGGGTTGTCTGGCGTCGGGAAGGGGCTGGGATCTTTGAATCCCTTTAATCAGGAGAGAGGTTTGTGAATTGTTTATCTCAGAGGAGGGAGTGCTGTATATCAATTTATGGGAAAAAACTGAATGGCGTTCAAGTAACCTTTAATGGACCCGACTTGTAGGCCCTTAACGCTATTAAGGTAGAAAATAAAGGAGGTGATAAAAAAAGAGAAAAATCATGGAACAGACATGGAATGCTTTAAAACGTCTCCAAGCGGTCAGGTAGAATTTGAGGGTTCAGGAAGAAACTGCTTGGAGGATGGTGTCGAGTGATGCGTCGAGGGGGGTTTTATCGAGTGGGTTATGAGAATATCAGTCCTGAATAGCAAGGAACTGGAGTTGGGAATTGGTCCACCTCTGGAGCCAGTGTCCTGGATTTCTGAGAGGATCTGAGCACAGATGCTTTGAGACAAGTTGATTACTAAGCTGGTTGGAATGATGTGATAATTGGATCAATTATTTGAATGTGCTCCTCCCGAACTGTTTATAAAACATAATTTAAAATCCATAATAGGTCTGTAAGGATTCAAGGCAAAATCAAATCTCTGGTTTAACATTTGAAAACAAAGAAATTAAGACATTATTTATGGATTTAAGAAATTGTTGTTTTCCGTAAAATAAAATTATTATTATTATTAAATGCTATTTTTTATTTTACAGTACAATCAAAGTAATAGTATTAGGCCTATTATTAGTAATATTATCACTACGATAAAATGTTCCATTATTTGGTTTCACTGAATAGAGGTTTTTACCTAGTGTACTACAATTGACAGTAAATCCACATTTGCATTTTAAATCTTTTCTTTAAAATATAGCAGCTTTCTGCCCTAATTCTAAAGGCAGCACGTTGTCCCTAGAGTTTCACTTGAGCTTTTCACTTAAATAAAATAAAAAAGAAGTGTATTGCACAAATCTAAATGAATTGTGTCCACAAGTCCCCCATTAAAAAAACAGGCAAACACTTTTAATATGTAACATAAAATACATTTACAGATCACTAATCCTTGTCAAAAAAAAGTTAATTTAATCTAATACCTGTTTTAGATGGGATATTTAGTAAATGTGTTGAGATGTGATTTAGTGGTCAAAAGGAAAAAGATAAAGGGGAGTTTTAACCCATCCCAGCACAAATGTCATTTTGAACATCACATTTTAAATCGAGGATCTTGTTTTTTTTCTCTCTCACATACCTTTCTTGCAGATCAGCATTGTGCCTATTAACCCTGTATTGTAGTCCTTGACAATGTCGTAATGGGAAAGGTATGTGTAGGTGAGGCATGGGGGGTCTGCAGCTGTCGGGGTCACCTCAGATGTCACGTCCCAATAGTATGTGTGCTCTTGGCCAGGGAGAATGATGTCATCCATTTTCTCAAGCAGTGATGTGTTGTCAAAGTATGAAGATCCTAAATGGAAATATTAGTGGTGAAAAAAGGATGCAGCTTCATCATACACAAATGAAACTAATGATGATATAAATGAGTATATAACCATGTATCTTGGTTAACAAATTGTACTTTTAGAAACAAATTGTGATTTTGTATAGGTAAATATTTATTTATGACTCAATGCTTTGGACTTAGGTACAGCCTGTGGTTAATTTGTATCCTATTTCCAAAGAAATCAAACACAGATGTTTGTGTTGCTCAAGGTGTTTACACAGCTAAACGAAGACTACTGAAATAATCTATAATGTCCTTTAAACAACATTCCTCTTGAAATGTATAATCTCTATTATTTCATAGCACCATGTACTAACGTGCTATATATTACAACACTATTGCGCTAATCATAATGTTACCACAAACACACCCTCTGACTGCTTCTCGTAAGCAATGCCGTGTGGGTGAATGCTGCAGGGATGATCAGCCATGTTCTTGAATGTGACAACGATTGTGTCGCCCTCTTGTCCACGTAATGTAGGCCCAAGTAACCCTAGAGCATTCGTTTTGAAAAATCATAATTTCAAACTTAATGTAGTAGAGTAAATGATTTATGCATAAGCATGTATTTTCGAGCATTAATACCTAATAAATGGATTTTAATATTGAAATAAAGTCAATAGGTGTTCGAAAAACAGGTACCTGAAGACAAGGGATGTGTTTTAGGCTGTGTGAATCCCTCATTGTACTCCCTGTATACTACTTTTTTGTATAATGGTCCAGTCCTATAAAACAACAATACAATTTTTTTTATATGAATTACAAAAACAACTAAAATTGGCAAAATGTTAAACCAGTTAAACCATATGCTGGTTGAACATTTTGTCTATTTTGGGTTTTTTGTATTTCATATAAAATGTCTTTGTCACTTGTCCTTGTTTGAATTGCATATAAATTTGATATTAAAAATATTCAGTTTGAATGCTACTTCTTGTCAGATAACAAACTGTCCCAGGACAGATATGTAATTATTTGATACAGTTTTACAACAGAGTTATTATTCCTGAAACACAAGAACCGAACAAGTAAAAGACAAACTATTTATATAACTGCTTAGAAAAATATAAGAATTAATTTGAACCCCAACAAATGATGTTATTTTTCATACCTTTGCTGTCCGGCAGATGTGTAGTCCCAGTTAATATTAACAGCTGCAATGTAATAGCGTCTCTCCACAGCTGTTGCACAATGACACAGGAATGCCAGAAGGGCCAAACCACACAGGGCCCCTGGCCAGGAGTGGCGTTTCATATCTGACAATGAAACTCCAGGTAGAAACGGTCTGTTCCAGAATTCAGGAAATTCTGAACATTCAGAGAAATGACAGTGAGCTTTATATCGCCCACCCCCTTGTTGAACACACACAGATACAGACACATGCACAAACAGACACACAGACACAGACACACACACTTCCACATTCAAGGGCTGACTATCATTATCAAATAACTGAAACTTCTTGTTTTTGTTTAGTCATCATTAGTACCTCTAAGGCTGTTTGAACATGTAAAACTATTTTATTTTTGTAAGCAAATGCTATTTTGAATGGAAAATACAGAGTTTCCTTGAACATATTCATTCTCAGAAATAAAAAGGTACGAAACTGAAAGGTACCAATATGTAGGGTACACTAAGGTACAAATACTTTTAAATTCTGTACCATTTACATGTAGGCCTAAATAAGGTACGAAGATGTACAATTTTGCTTTTTTTCTGAGTGTGTTTGTCAGTGCCATTTGAATGCATGCAGGCATAGATTACACATATGCACAAATATTGAAAATTTTCATAATAACCAACTAACTACTATCTGCACAAAATGAAAAGGTACTTCTACACCGTATGAAATCAGAACTAAATGACCGTGGGCTTCAGCTTCCGTGAAATACCATTGCAACGTTTTTATTTGCCCCAGACAGCAACAATTCCATTATAAGGATTTACTCATAATCCTTTTGATTTCCCTTGCATAGTTTCTTAATTCATTGTTTGTTTACAGTGTTCAAGCTGCATAAATGTATGAGTAAAACGAGTCATGTATCTGAAGAATACTGTCTGGACTTTGTTTAACACTTGCCTCCAACTCTTTGAGCATCACGTCATGTAATAATAACAATAATAAAGGAAAACATTGTTACGAACCAAACTTTATGTGATTTGGCATGACTCACTCATGACATTTCCCTAAGAAGTAGCCTATTGGGTGAAGACATAGGCCTACTTGAAATTTCCTAAAAAAAAACTACCCTTATTAAATTTTCCAGACAGAAGCTGAGAAACACTTAACACAAGTATGGAAAACTACTTTCAATCCTAAAGTATACTAACAAAAATACACTAAAACTTTAGAAGGTAATTTTTCTGTAGGCTATATTTATCTGTCATTATATCCGACGCTCAAATAAAATAAACATTTTTGCAGATTTAACATTCAGGGATTAAAAACAATACTAAAGTCTTTAATTGTGACTAAGGATGATTTTAATATTCATCAGCTAGCCACGGCTTCGCTGTTGAAGGTCGGAGTAATCTTAGTATAACAAGCAAAGCCCGTTGCCCTGCAACGTCAAATAAAATGATGACGTAGCTTTTGATATGCGCATGCGCAAAGATGCGGAAGTCGTGGGCAGGTTGTTTGGTGGAGTGAGAACATATGGACAGGTAAATAAAGCACCGAATATGAATCCGTTTGAGCTTTATCACGACATTCACATTATAATAGATACATTGCTGTCTTGTAACTGAATGCCGCACTACTTATTATTGCGTTACGAACATCATAACAATCAATATCGAATTGCACAATGTTGGGAATGTGATGATCCACATTATTGTAAATCATATTATTAATGTGCGTTATAATAATTTAGTTTACATGTTATTTAACCTTTTTACATTAAGAATGTCTATTTCTATATTTCCAAGATCACAGCAAGTCATAATCGTCTATAGTTATTATTCATTTTGAAGTTTGATGTTTATAAACAGTGCTGTACTGAAAGACATGTACACAACGTCATTGCCTTCACATAAGACACAATGTTCACGTTCCTCCATTCTGTTTCTGTAAACACTAAACCCAATGCTCCATGATTTAATCGCTGCATGTTTTGATGGCTGACTCATAATTTGTGCTTGTTGAAAATAAAGCTCTAGATACAGAACGCGGCAGGTCTTGACAAATAGGTATATGAGTTGTAAAAGGGTATGGAGAGACCAATCCGATTTATTATTTCATGAAAACGTGTAATTTTTCAGTGTTATGAGTGTGGTTAATATGATTGTCTGATGTTTTCTCAGTGATCCTGTTCATCCTCCTATGACCAGCCTCAGCTCACGTTCTCCATAATGGCCCGGCCCTCTTCCTCCTCCTCCTCCTCCTCTTCTTCATGCCGCCGCTGCTGCCCCTGCTCGCGGCTGTGCTCGAGATCTTCAGCCTACTCTTTGGCCCTGGGTCTGGGTTTTGTCACCTTGGGAACCAGTCGTATCCTATTACTAAAATTCTCAGCCAATGAAGGTAACATGTTACCATGAAGCAACTTGATGTATATTCCTTATCATAATACCAGATAACTTTACTTTTACTTACAATGTAGAGAATTTTAAATGTTATCAAATCTGTCTTTTTCTATATTACAGAAAACAAATATGACTTTCTTCCTGCATCTGTGAATTTAATGGCTGAGGCCATCAAACTAGTATTTTGTTTAGTCATGTCAGTACGGGTGATCATTCAAGGTGAGTCAGATTTGTTGTCCTAAAATTACCATTCTCATTAATATACTAAGCTATACTGTACAGTCTATACTGAATTTTGATGTTTCTCATTATTTCAGCATATGATGGATTTGTTTTGGGGCTAGAACTATTGCTTTTGTTTTCCAGAGGGCCGCTCTTATAAAGATTTGGGATGTTCATCTGGTGCCTCTTTTCTCAGCTACCTGAAGTGGTCTGTTCCTGCATTCCTCTACTTCCTTGACAACCTTATCATCTTCTATGTGATGACCTATCTGCAACCTGTATGTTGGATTATTAAAAATCTTTAGTGATTTATAATATGTTAGTAATGAAATAACTTTTACCTATATAAATAATAATATTTAAAAAATCTTCTGGGATTAGTGTTATTCAATTCATATGAAAATAAAGAAATGTACACATACACTACTGTTCAATAGTTCAGTGAGATTTCTTTAAATGGTTTGGGTAGATGTTTTTTTATTTTTTTTATTTGATTAAAAATACAGTTAAATTAGTAATATTGTGAAATATTATTACAATTAAAAATTTGTATCTTTTACACGCTGAATTACTGTCATTACCAGCCTTCAGTGTGTCACATCATCCTTCAGAAAACATTATAATTTGCTCCTCAAGTAACATTTATTTGGTGTATTATCAATATTGAAGACAGTTATGCTGCTTATTTACACATTCTTCTGTAAACCGTGTTACTTTTTTTAGGAATCTTTGATGAATAAAAACACCATTAATTTATAATATAAATTACATTAACATCATAAATGTCTTTACTGTTACTTCTAATCAGCAATGAATTTAATTATTGATTTTTCCTCATGTTTTAATAGGCTATGGCAGTAATGTTTTCCAACATTGTTATTTTTACAACAGCCCTTCTCTTCCGAGTCGTTCTAAAGTAAGTACTGGCATTTCTAGTTATCTATCCTTGAAATATATCCTTTGCTGACTTTTCATCCTTTGGCCTGCAGGAGGCGCTTGTCTTGGGTGCAGTGGGCATCTGTGACCATTTTGTTTCTGTCCATTGTGTCGTTGACCACTGGCAGTGGTGACCAGCATGCCATCGCCGTACATGGCCTCCACCCAGCCCACATTTCCACCCCTTCCAACAGTTGTCTGAAATACGCCCACCCCGAGCTGAAGGATCAAAACCATAACGAAACGTACTGGACACGTGATCTGTGGGACAGTCAGCTCATCCACAAGCTGAACAGCTTCGGCCTGGGTTACGTCCTACTGCTGCTGCAGTGCTTCATCTCTGCGCTGGCCAACATCTACAACGAGAAGATCCTCAAAGAGGGGGAGCAGCTCGTGGAGAGCATCTTCATCCAGAACAGCAAGCTGTATGTGTTCGGTTTGATCTTCAACAGCCTCACGCTGCTCCTGCACTCTGACTACCGTGAACTGACGGTGCACTGCGGCCTCCTCTACGGCCACAACGTCTTCTCCATCGCCCTGGTCCTCGTCACAGCCACTCTAGGCTTGTCGGTGGCTTTCATTCTCAAGTTCCGTGATAACATGTTCCACGTTCTGACGGGTCAGATCACCACGGTCATCGTCACTGCCCTCTCTCTCTTCCTATTTGACTTTCGCCCATCGATGGATTTCTTCCTGCAGGCGCCTATAGTACTGCTAGCCATCTTTATCTACCACAGCAGCAGACTGAAAGATCCAGAGTACACTCTGCAGCAGGAGAGGCTCAGGGTCATCAATGGAGAAGTGTTTGAGAGGTCAAGAGGGGTAAGGGTCAAATATAGACTTCATTTTAAAACGTTGGTCACTTGCAGCTTAGCTAATCATTTGTTTAACCTTTAAATGGTCTTCATTTCCTGTTTACACTTCTGGGCCTATACGACCCCAACAATTATTTTAGTAATTGTACAAAAAATATACATTTTTAATCATACAAATAATATATGATTTTTTTTTTGTTTACTTCTCATCTATTCATTAATGCTGTGTTTTTGGAGATATAAAGTACTTTTGTATCCATATTCCACACAATTCCTCAACTACACCATTAGCTTGCATATAAAATATATTTTTTTTTTTATGATACATTGCATTTTTGCATTGCAAAAAAAATTCAGATTTATACCGGATTTGTTTGTTTTTTTGCCACATGAAGAAAATATATTTAGTTTTTTTTTCACATTTCCCATTCATTTCAATGTGGGGTCATATTGACCCCGAAGACCAGAAGTGTAAACATTTTTTTTTTTTACATACCATCAGAACAACCGAATCAAGCCCAGTTTTTTGTGTGTGTATAGATAGATAATGTATGAAAAGTCACAAAATCTTATTCCACTGAGATGAAGGGAACCTTTTTTTTATTAAGTAAAGGTTGATTGGGGTAGTATAGACCCCATGACGCGATTGAGGGCTACTTCGACCTGTTCGTTTCCACGTTCATTTTTGACACTGCCAGTTTAAACAAGGGGCTCTTTGTAGAGGAGATCTGGCAAACTAATCTGATTAAGTGCGTAGCAAAGCCTTAATTTAGATTATAGCATTATTTAGATCAAATATAT